CTTTTCAACACATTTAAAGTTTTACAATTTTCGAGGAAAAAGTATTCATTTAAAAGAAACAACCGCACTACTGTCAAAATATGTAAGCTTCTACACTTTTTTTAAAAAAGAAATCAAATTGATTGTTATATGATTTTTTTTTTTGTTTTGTTTTCTAATAGAATTATATCAGTTTAAAATATCGACAAGTTTTCATTGTCGTTAGTACAATTTATCATATATTGCGCGACAAGACAGGAATTCCTTGCAAAACACTTGAAACATGTCCGCAATTAGCCGCGTTGAAACGTCTATTTATCATCTCATCTTTAGAAACGTAGCAGCGAATTCCATCTCGCCCACCATTTCCTGGAGTCGATGTTCCTCCAAGTAGTTCAGACCGGAGTCTGTACTTTAATTCCATCCCGGTCTCCTTTTGGTTTCCTTCGTTCCTTTTGTCTCCGTCATCCAAACATCCTCAGTGTTCGTGTACAAACGACTAATTGTCCGCGCCGAGAGCTCTCTTTCTCTCGACGGAAGTTCATCGAGTTTATTGTCTTTGCCAGTTCCGTTCCCCGCTTGTTCTTTCCTTTCTTTCCCTTCCTTTTTTTTCTTTCGGACACGCGTCGCCTCACGTGCTCCTCTATGCTCGATTTTCTCCGCGACGTTTTCGAATTGTTTGATCGAGACACAGACAGGGCAAACAGACAATTCGTCACTTAGGTATACTCGCGCTGTTTGTCGTTTCTTACGTTCAACACGTTCGTCACTGCGTGCGAATTTTATACATTTTTCACTGAACCTAAAGGTGATTGCATTTTTAAAACGTTGTGCAAGCTCATAAAAAATTCATCTGTATGGTGGAGAAGCCTTCAAACTATGACAGTGTCAGAATTGGTTTGCTAAATTTCATTGATAAGGATATCGTGTAACTCGTTCTTGGAACTTTTTTTTTTTTGTAGAAAGGAATCAGAATCTTTTTGAATCATGAAATTGCTCGAAAGATGGAAGAAGGTAATTGAACAAAATGATCGATATATCATGCAACAAAGTTTTTCGCCTTCAAAAAATTTCCATACAATAAAAACGCAGTTACTTTTTGGCTAATACATTGATTAACTCTATTAATTGAAACAAGATGATGTTACGAATATCTTTACAAATATCTTTTACGAACATGCATTACGAGTATCATCAGTAATTTTAATGATAATTGAAACAGCAGTCGAGTGTAACCAAACGAATTTTCCGCCGTAGATAATAGTTATCGATTAAACCAGAATAAAGTTCGAGCGATCGATAATGATATAATTGGAAAAAAATTCGGATCATTTGTGTCGGTTACGTTGTAATTATTTATGTAAATCTATGTCAATTACATTTCGTTCCTTGATGAACTTGAGATCTCCGAGATCGGATCAAATGTTGAAATTAATTGAAAATTGATGGATTAATTTACTCGGTGATTTTTTCCAAAACAATCTCAGATCTCTAATTCTACTTATTAAACACTGTAAGAAGTATTGCACTTCATTTCTGCATATCATAATACTTGCACTCTGCATGTATCTTTTTTGCACGCGTCAAATTTCCCACGAACGCGTGAAAATCTAAATCTCTGTCTGTAATTCCGTGAAACTCGTCGAACACGAAGGAAACAAGCAGAGATTCTAACCGAAGTGATAGCATGATGGAGACGAGAGGATCGGCCGAGGCACCCTCTCGACAGATCTCTAAATTTAGTCAGACGCGTTTTACCGACCGGGGGGAGGAGAGGAACGAATCGACGTCGACGAACGGCGAGGAAGAGGACGACGGGGATCGGACGTGGCTCCAGATGAAACGTCGCGACGCGTCGGAAGGGACAGTGTCGCGATTTTCGCCTGGCCGACGTCCAAATTGGCGACACCTCGATCCAGAGGTTCATGAATGGGAGGATTTGGTAAACGTCCTACTGCCCCTGGTTTGATTCTCGTGAAAGAGCGAGAATCGAGCCAAGTCTCCCCGCGGCTTTTGCACCTGCGGCGTAGCCTAACCTCAACGCCCAAGGTCGAGAAATCGTGGAATAATGCCGACTTCTTGATCACGCGGTCGTTATTTTAACGATCTACGCACTTTTCAGCGTGTCCAAAAAAATTGTTGACATTTCAATCTGTTGTAACTTCGTAGAAGAAAAGGAAAACTCGTGACTTGGTGTCATTTTAAAGGGCAAAATTTACTTAAAATACTTCGACGTTTCTGAGATCGTTTTTCTTTTTCTTCACTGATGTTTTTACATCGTGTAGCGAGTTTTGTTTTCGAAAGTTGTTAAAAGTTATAAATATTGAAGGATTCTTCACCATGATCTTGAAGATTGAAGTTCCTTGCCTGCAACGAACCCTTAAAGCTTGCTACATTGAACTTTGAATATTCAAAGAATATTCAAGAAATCCTAATTCTCAGTTTGCATTTCATTTGAGGTTTGAAGATTATTTTTTTTTTCTGATTATCTTTCTGAATCTCTGCTACAGCATGTTCACAATTAATTAAAATAACGAATTACATATTGTAGAACGTTGGGTAGACAGATAAAATTTGATAATAAAAACAAATTAAATGAAGCAGCACGATGCATAGATCGTGAAGAGAGGAAAAAAAAAAGATCAGAGCTCTCATGACAAATGGTATCCATGAAACTGAGTAATGGAACGTCACTAAAGATCATTTTTCAATTACAAATGATCTCTGAACTAGCTAGTATTTTTAAACGATCGAGAAAATATCTTGAGAATAGCACGTGTGTGTATAGATGTGTTACGTTAAAAATGATTTCACTGATCAAAATAAAGAAACGACCTACTGTTTGCAATGCAAAAATACTCTAATATAAAACTATTAAACCTGGAAACTTGTCAGTCGAATAATAATTATTTTCAATATGAAACAATTCATGACATTTTACATATGAGTCAATTTATATAAGATTAATTATTTTCAATATGATAAATTAAATTCATCACAGCATTTGTAGTGTTAATTGATCAATAATAAGTAAGAAAGTACAAACGATATTGGAAATAATCACGTAGTACGATGATACCGGAAATTACCTTATCTAGTAATTATGAACGTAGAAAAAAATTTACAAATAATAATTACAAGATCCGGACAATTGCAACTAGTTGCAAAAAGAAAAAAGATCGATCGACAGTCTAGTAAAAAAAAAAATGAAGCTTTGATAATTGAATATCACCAGAGAAGATAGAAAAAATAAATTTCTGAAATTATGCTGAAATTATGTTAATATCCATTAACAAATGGACGATAGCCAAGATAAGATTCTCGTGACAACTGGTAAGCGATTACGATCAGATTAAGTGTAACGTACTGTGCACAAGCTGTAGAATCTAAAAACCAGTATTTCGAACGAGTATTTTAATTTTTTGAAATAAATAATAAAAGAAACTCCCAGAATATAAAAATAAAATTGCTCCAGTTGTTGGACATGTAAAATGAAACAAAACGATTAAGATTGAAAAAGTAGATCGATAATATCTGTCTGAATATTTCAAATGTTGCTTCTCCTTGTTAAAAGGTTTGTTAAACTGGTTTCGTATTGCAAAAAAAGAAGAAAAGGCAGAGTAAAACTTTTAATTAAGTTTGAGCCTCACTGGGAAGTATTAAAAAACATCTTCTGAATATCTGAAAGGAAACAGAGATAATGAAGCGATATTTACAAGTAGACAAGTTGTATTCTGTCTTTAAATTAATTCTGATTTTAAATTATATCACATAACTGCATTTATGCACGACATAAATCCCTTTTAAAAATACTAATTACGATTAACTAAAAATTCAATATGAATCCCCCCAAAAATTCTTCGTGCAAAATGGAACTTTTATATTAGAATCAACTTTGAATGATCGTGAATATATGTAGAAATCGGTTCCATCGTTACACGAAGTGGATATCTATTTTTGGATTTCACGCATTTGGATTTGGATCTAAAAGAATCGACATGGATAATCGAATCGCGTGCAACGATTCCCCCGTGCAATTTTAACGGTATTTATTGCAAGCAGAATTCGTGGAAGAATCGAATTAGAAGGCGCGGTTAGCTAGCCTGCCAAGCAACCAAAGCTATCGGTTTATCTTTCCGTGAACTTGCTGCTCTCAGAGAACGCGTACATGTAAGAGATGTATTTCTTGTCTCTAAACAGAATCGAAACAGAATCGAAACAGAATCCCACAGGTAAACTGAAGCATCTTTCCTCAAATAGATATTTAACAATCTTCGCGTGATCGTACAGTAAACTTGTAATTTCATCATGACTTGATAAAACATTGAACTTGAAAATAACCAGGAGATCAATCACTGCATCAAACAATCGTTAAAAATATATTTTACTGCAAACGAAAATGAAAAAAAAATCCTCTAAGTTTTCATAATTCGTATGATAAAAATCCTATAAGTTTGATCATTTCTATGATACTGTAACAGAGAATTACTTATTACTGATCGTCCAATCGTTTTGTGCAGTGTATGTACGAATGTTTATATCTTTAAAAATAACTAAAAAGAAATCAAAATCTGATTTTAGAATTTAAATAGAGCCTAAGGGACCTAAATAGAATTTAGGAATCTAAATAGAAATTTGTTTCATATGTTAAATATTGTGCTCCAAAAATTAAAAGTATGTAAAATACGTGCTCGAACTTTGAATATTCTACATTTCTGTGGATATTTTTATTGTTAAATTTTCCAAAAATGAATAAACATTCGTAGCATATAACTCTGGCTATATAACATTAAAAACGAAACATATCTGATGTACTTTGTACTCGAAATAACCTATCATATGTAACATATATATGCCTTTTATAATATTTTATTTTATTGGCAAAATAAGAAAACAAAGTCTTGTGTGTGTGAAACATAAAATATTTACTCATATAATATTTTACTCAGAATAATTTCCCAAGCAATCTTCCATAGTACTTTGCTCTCGATCTGAAATATTCAGTAAATTCGTACTGAAAGGCGAATTATTTTCAATCCACAGATCCAGATCATTCTTACACGGTGACAATGTCAATCGGTGACAAATTAACTCTACGATGCTCTTCGAGTTCGAACGCGGAGAACACCTGGTACAAAGGCAACGAGATCTTCGAATCATCGTCACCGAGGATACGAATAATGAAACAGTCGTTGAAGTTCAAGTACATCGAGCCCGAGGATGCCGATTCGTACAGTTGTCTGGTCAAGTCGAACGCGACGCTCGAATGGAGAAACGTGACGATACGAATCGAATCGTTGCAGAACGATGGATACCAACACGAGGCCGAAAGAGTAGGGAGAAACGAAGAAGAGACGAACGAGTTGGAAATCGAAGCGAGAAGTTTGTGTCATCAGAGTATTCAGTTTATTTTTTAAAAATTTTCAATTTCTAGAGTTTTTCTAGTTCACTTTTATAAAAATTTTCAATTTTTAAATTCTGGATAGATGGTAATATGAAATTGATGCTGCAAGCATCGATAATAGTATTTCTTACAGTTTCGTGCGTGGATTCTAAATAATTTCAATGTCTTTGAAAATCATTAAAAATTCTAGAGAACTGAAGATTTCTGAAAATATTCCTCTTATAGGTATGACAATTTTTCTTCGAAAATTAGAACATGATAAAGTTAACTGAAGTTCCGTTTAGTAAGAAAAATTCCAATTAATGAACAACCCCTTTTTCAAATATTAAGAACCTCTTCCAATTAATTTTACACCATTCCATAATCCGTGAATATATTTTAAATTAATTAAAAAATTCGTTCACAAAACGAATACTAGTAATAAAATATCATCCACATTCAAACGTTACAAGTTTAATCTAACCTCTTTCTTCTTCCAATTAATTCTAAATCTGTCCACGATTCACGAACGAACCCAGAGTCAATTAAAGAAAAAAAAAAAACAAAATTCATCCCCTAGTTCTAAATTTAACAAAACTGTTCCAGATCTGCCAGAGACGCGATCGTTGCACCTCGACAGCGAAAACGTGGAGGTCGACCTGGATAACGAGAAACTGGAGAACGAGACCGCCGGTGAGCACAACAACACCGCCCCGGCGCGAGCACCGTCCTTCAACAAAACCGTGGAAATGCCAAACGTGGTGGTGAAACCAGCTGGCAACATGTTACGTTTACGGTGTCCAAGCTTTGGCAACCCAAGGCCGAACATCACGTGGTACAAGAACAACGAAGAACCGAAACGGACGCTCGGCACGGTGGTCATGTCCAAATGGACGTTCAGATTGGAGGATCTAGTGCCTGAAGACAGTGGCAATTACACTTGCGTGGTGTGCAATGAGCTGGGATGTATCAATCGCACGTCCAAAGTTGAAATTGTCGGTGAGTGTCTCTCTTTTCCTTTTCTTTTTTCCCCCCCTCTCTCTCTTTATTCAGAGAGGATAGTACAATGTTTAGACTGCGGATTTTTATGTGCGTGTATTGTAATGTACAGATTTGGATACAATAGAACTCCATTTATATGAATTTATGATTGAAGTTCTAATATTATAATATAATATTAGATGCCTACTGGTTAATGATTTTTCGTTCAGGTTCAACAAGAGTTCATTTTATCGAATATTGATTAAAATTTGGAGTTCAAATAAATGGAATTCTACTACAGTATAGTAGTGTAGTATAGTACACACATTGTTCGTGTACGTTGAACAATTTTAATTAATCCTGCAAAAATACGAATTTAGATAAAAATTCGCAGTCTGGTGATGATTAGAACAACGATTTTATTAGCATAAAAAGAAAGAGTTACACGATGTTAAATAATTGCAAATATCATAATGTAAAAGTTGAATGTAGAAAATGCTTGTGTGAAAAGAGGAAATTTTAAATTGTGACGAGACGTGGAAGCAAGCTGAAAGCATTTGCAATTAAAGAAGAAATTTCTGAATTCTATATTAAATCGTGTGTTCCTTTTACGTCGCGTCGTTAACCGAGAAAAGAAAAGATCCTAATGACTGAGGGAATTTCGAAA